GAGGGAAATGAAATATTTGACCATACCGGGTTGGGTTGAAGTCAATTTGAAAATTTTTCCATCTTGACAACATTTTCATAATGTAGACAATGATTGAAAATGACTATGTACACACACCGATTGGACATTGGATAAGCCTAAATTATTTTTGCTAGCATTATTTGGAACATATTTGTGAATTGCTTATACAATTTTACACTCGTTGATTATTATGACAAGCTATCTAATGTTGTTAATCTTTATCATGTATTACTTGATTGTGTTAATAGATAATCTTACTCGGGACAAGTAAGAATTTAAGTTTGGGAGTATTTGATAAATGTGTGTTTTGCACACTTATTTAATACCTAAATATTCTTATTATTGATAAAGTAAGTGAATTTCTACTCACAATTATGTAATTATTACTTTTATAGGTAAGTATTACTCCAAACAAAAGAAAACAAGATAAAAGGAGGAAAATGGACTAAAAGTGTGCAAAATTGTGAATTTGGGGACCAAAGTGAACAAAGCATAAAGTTGAAGGATCTTGGATGCAATTTATGGAGGGAATAATCTAAATGAAAATCAAAATTTGTAGACCAAATTGTATAAGACCAAAGTGAGGGACCTAACGTGCAATTATCTTAGGGACTTGGGCTGCAATTTTTTGGAAAATTGGTTTTTAAAGTTTTAAAACCCTACACAGTTTTTTCGTGGCAGCAGGTTTGCTTTTCCTCTTCATTTTTTTCCTTGTTTTTTTCCATTTTCTTTTTCTTTTCTTTTTCTTGGCAATTTTTGGAAAACTGGTTTTTAAGGTTTTAAAACCATACACAGTTTTTTCCTGGAAGCAGTTTTTCTTTTCCTCTTCATTTTTTTTTCTTCTTTTTTTCTTCTTCTTTCATTTTCTTTTTCTCTTCATTTTCTTTTCTTTTTCTTGGTACTTTGAGGACAAAATCAAGAGCACAATATGGAAAATAAATCAAAGAAAATGTGGAGAAGAAGTGGGAGAATCAAGATTCAAGCAAATCCATCCAAAAAGGGTTTTGTCTTTAACCTTGTATTTTCATTATTATTTTCTATCATTTGGAAAATCAGGTCTAACATCGTAAATGAGTAATTTATTAATTAGCTTGTGGAGAAATTAATTAGGCGACGGTTAAGCAAAACCATGAATCTCAACCACGTTTTTCCTCCAAAATTTCCAAATGTTTATGTTTCTTATTTTATAGATTTTGAGTTAATTTTTCTTATTTTCCAAAATCAAATTTTATTGTGTGTTTACTTTTATTGTTAAAATTAAATTGAT